TAGGAAATACATATTGACAGGAAGTGGCTGCATAGAGGCAGCAGGGGATAATCAGTACTGAGATGCAACAAGGGATGAAAAAGGTAAAAACAAGTATATTATTTTAAAAAGAGGCAACTATCTATGACACACAATGCTTTGAACAATTGAGATGCCACAGAGTTAGCATTTACAAAAAAAATGACAAAACAAATGGCATGAGTACATGCTATGTAATGGTAATGATCATTAATTATATGTAAAAATGTAGCCTGCTGATTGTGATTACAGACACATGCATGGAAGAGGAGGAACTTTGCAGCAAGGTTGATAGGTATAATCATGTGGGAAAGAGAAGAGGGTACAGCAGGGAGAGGATAAGAGAGGGTAGGACTATTTGGACTGTACAGTGATAAAGTAAACAACATACAGCTAAGGTAAGTGTAACCAGTAATAAATGGCCACTAATGGGCATAATATAAACCCTTATCAATCTCCAGAGAATCTGCCTAAGCAGTCATTATTAAGCTTATACAAGAACTGACTTTGAAAAATATACAACTGCCCCCTAAGCCAAAAACACTTGTCAGCATGAGATCAGATAGCTAAAGGGCAGCGACTATCAGACTTTAGGTGACTCCTCACCCCTGACCATGATTCAGGGGTAAGCATGCATTATAATTTACACCTCGCGTTCAGCTTTAAAGGAGAACTACGAGGAGAGTAAAATATACCCTCCCCTCTGCTCAAAGCTGGCATGAAACACTTCAACTGTCACATGACAACTCTAAGACCAAGAGCTGAGCAATCATGTAACCACTGATCACTCAGCTCGGACTCCTCCCTGCAGAGAGCAGGGACTGTCACTCACCGCCACCAGCAGGGATTCCCCCCTACTCTCTCTGTTACTCCAGCACTCATTGGATGGACAGACAGGGAAGGGGGCGGGCACAGCTGGCAAGGGCTCTAGAGAGGTGGAGCCAGCTGTCACTTAGGCAGCCAGGGTGGATCCTAACAGTATTTTGGCACTGCACTATCAGCATATAGCCGGCAGTTACCTGCTATATGGTGACTTTGGGTCACAGAACATTAGTGAATGTACTCCAGAAACTCAAAAGAGAAGTAAAGCCAAAAACAAAGGCTTCACTGCATGGTTGTGCCATTGACTTTAATGCACCGACATGAGCCCTCCCGCCCCAGAATGCAGTGAGCCAGCCGGAATGTGATCTAGTGCGTTCCAGCACCAAATTGGGCCGGAACACACTGGGGATGGTGTGAACTAGCACTTACCATTTATCTGAAATTTTCTACCATAAAAATGTAGAGAAAAAAAGGGGTCAGATGAGCATTCTTGGTCTTTTCATGTTGTCTGCACAGGCCGGTATGAGAAGTAAATTGGGGCCAGCACATCCCTTCAGTAATGTGCACTAAACATTTAGCAGACATCATCTAAACTAACACATAAAGTTTTACCTAAATGTGAACATTAGAAGACAGTAAATCATTTGCTGTGTGTTAAATGTGTTTGTAGTCCAGATCATACTGCACAGCCAAAGACTTTACCCCATGATCCCCTTCCATACGTCTTACTGCTCCTGTATAAGTGGATAACACAGCAGACATTACCACCTAATACAACAGGGAATACAGCATGTCTGTTGTTCTCACTTAGAAATAACACTGCATTTACACATAGAGAGTAAAACAACAACGTACAGCAGAGTTAGCTTCAGTTCCTATAATTCAGTGTGCACAGGATACAGGCTTTGCAATAACCCTCATTCAGATGAAACTGGTGCTATGGAAGTTGTGTGCACCACATAGGACACAGCAGCTGTGATTGACATCCCCTGAAGCCCAGGTGGTGTGTCTAATACAGTCAATGGGTCTTGTGAGAGACAGGAAATGTGCCCACTCAATGTAAATCCAGAGGCACGCAGTGGGGAGGGAAATGGGAGGAAATTAAAACACCAGAGACAAAAGCAGATGGGACATAAAAAAACCGGTGAAGGTTGAGTTATTTCTTAATAAATAAGGCAACAAACTATGTGAAAAACACTATACATTCCTTATGTCTATGGGAATTTTCTGAAAATCCCTGCCAAGAGAGGCCAGAAGAAAAGGGAATTGGTCTATCCGTGAAAAGCCGGCACTGGCACTGTGTGCAGCTCTTGTGTTGTGCCTAAGTCCTGCAAATTCATAAACAGAAACATTAGTGAGACCTGAGCATTCCTGTTCATGGCCAAAGCTGGGCCAAATGATATTGTGAGACATCTGGATCATCCTTAAAGGAGAACTCTGAGGTGAGTGCTTTTCACTCACCTTATAGTTCCAGCCGACCTGTGACAATGAAACTGTCACAGGTCGGCTCAGTAGATTGGGAAGTGAGCGAACACATACCGGCGTTCGCTCACCTCTCGATCCTGTCACAGCTCTCTGCCGTGACAGGGGAGGGGCTGGATCCCCCCCTTCCCACTCCGATCCGCCAGTGCTGACTGGCGGAACGGATGGGGGGGGGGGGTGCAGCTGGCTCTGCCAGTAGCTCGCGGTATACTGAGCTTAGGGTGACGGGAGGACGCTAGTTTGTGTCCTCCCGTTATCCTAAGGAGAACTAAGGGGAAAAGCCTTAACCCCATAGTTCTCCTTTAACTGTCCAACCATTCTCTGAAGTCAATGCTTATTGTAACTATTTTCCCACTGTGTATCTCAAGCCTCTTGTCTTTTCTAAAATAAAACTTTTGATCTTTTGTTTTTGCCATTAAGATGAAATTTCATGAGCCTGCAGACATGACCTTGTCATTGCTTTGTCTCTTAAGGCAGGACCTGGAGAATTATAGATCGATATGTTAAAGATAATGTGTTGTAACAAATGGATGTCAAGGAAATGCATAGGAAATTTTATATTTTACATCTAATGCCTTGTGCCAAAAAATGGCTTGGATGAATTATTTTGTACCTTCTGTCTTTCTATATAATTGGAAGGGTGCCTGCAGTTTCACCCCTCATATGCGCCAAGCGAATAAATGAGTAGTTTTTAACCTCAAAATAAATTCTTATTTATTTTTTATGGACACACTATTATTTTTGAACCTTACTGAATTCTAAACTTTCTAAAGTATATGTCCTGCCTAACAGTAGACATTATAAGATGCCTACTATTACATTTATTAGTCAGAAAATGCGCTTCTGTGCCCCTCCCTCATTTTTTTTTTCTTGCATAGAGTGGGGAAGTGCCGAGTGTTTAGTGCTGTCCACATTCTAGCTGGAAATATTCACCCCTCTATTTGTCCTGGTGACCACTGTCACTGAGACAGGAAATGATAGGAAATTCTAAATGTTATGGTTGATATGAGATCAAGAGAGGTGAGGGGAAATCTTCCAGGTACTGGTCCTGGTGACAACTATCTAAGATGGAAATTCCCCTCAATTTGGGGTAATTTCTTCTCACTTCCTGTTGCATCTCCATGACAGGTATTGAGAAGGTGAAGAGAGTTCTCCCCAGCAGGACACAAACAGCAAAAAAAAATAAAAAATAGGGTTTTAACTCTTTAACCCTGTTCTATCTAAAACTAAAAATATGTTTGGCTATATATACACTTTAAGATGCACCAGATGCCATGTCCGGTGAGAGTGCCACTACTGACCACTGTGGAACACTAACTGGACACTGAAATGACAGATGGCAGGGCTTAGTCAATAACTGAAGCCCCACTAACAAAGTGAAACCAAATCAGAGAAGGGCACTGGAAAGGCTTTTTCAACCAATAGAGTAGTGGCGTCACAAGGGGGGTGCGGCCCGCACCCGGGTGACACCATTGGAGGGGTGACACCAAAATGACATAGTCCCCCTTTAAATGGACCATGGGCCGAGAGCCCGACAGTGTTAGGAGAGAAGAGGGGACCCGACGGCATACCTCATCCCGTCGGGTGAACGTCCCCTCCTCTCTCTGCTGGCGTCCACAACCAAGATGGCTGCTGGCAGGCGTCAATTAGATGGCCGCGCAAGTGTGATGACGTCATCACGCACGCGTGTGGTGACGTCACAGTGGGGTGTCACCTGGCCTCTGCTCCGGGTGACACCCGGCCTCGGGACGCCCCTGCAATAGAGGTAATAGCAGAAATATTATGCTGTCCTCTCTTAGGTAGAAATTTTAATTTAAACCTTGAAAACAGAGCACAGGTTTGCTTTAATGGCACAATGCCATCAATCATGAAAATTCTGCATTCAAACTAACTCAGGAACACCAACTATTACTGAGAGGCCCTAGTTATCTTGATCTTGTGCTTTAGCTGATCTGCTAACTAGATCCCTGCACTTACCAGTATCTTCATTGTCTGTAAAGACACATAAATATGACAAGTTTTCCATAATGTAGTATGAAATCCGTTTTTTTTATTTATTTCATTATACACAATGCAGTAAGCCTTTTATTTCGTAGAGGATATGATTGGAACCTTTGTGGGTTGGTGAACCTGGTGGTGAAGTTCAAAGGAAGAAATACAAGATTTTCTAATTACTGTATATAGGGGTCTTAAATTCGAGTCAATGTTTTTTACTGGGGTACAGGTGAAATGTGGATATAATTTTTTTGAGTAAGATTTCACCGTTTTGGGAGGATTTCATTGCAGGGACCTTACTGATTATTTGACTTTTTTATATGTACTGTATATTATGATTTTTTGGGTGGATTTTAAGTTTATGGTTTTGGGAATATGGGTGTAGTAGCACTCAGTCACACATATACATTCAGAGTTTTTCACATTTTTGGAGGACTGGCACAGATGCTGTGATTATGGGCTTTTATGAATGAATATTGTTATTGATTGTTTTGTTGCATACAATTAAAATTATGCCATTTGCAGTGAGGGTAAGGACAACACGAAATTAGGGAGCACAAAAACTGTAGAAAACCTATATTTTGATAAAGGGCACAAGTAACACCTATTGGTGAGCATAACCTACACATGTAAAACATTGAAAGGAAGAAAATGCAATATTATTTAATTTACAAGTCTCTTACCTAGGTAGAGTGAGGCATTTTCCTTCTTGACGTTGTCATCTAAGTAAGTTGGACCCAGGGTATAGATGGGTGTGGATCCCATGCCAATGAGAATCTGAGCAACGATGAATAAAGCTACATAAAGGGAATGGTCTTTCCCTCCTGAGTCATTTGGGCACATTGACGACTCTAATGAATCTTTGGCAGAGGTATTGCCATTCATACACAACCCTTGATTTGCATCAGAAGAGTTAATCTCCTGAATTTGATATGGTGGAGAAATGAAGTGAGGTAAGGAAAAAAGAACTGCTCCTACAGCAATAAATAAACCACCTATAGCTAGCCAGCGTGGCCTGTGACCTCGTCCTCCAAAGTAGCTGATGAAAACCACCACTAAAAGGCTGCCGATATCAAAACAGCTGACCAGGAGACCAGACTCGGAACTCTTCAAGCTATACCGTCTTTCAATAGTGGTTATCACACTGCTTAAATAACCAGACACCATCAATGACTGGATGAAAGTTAAAAAAGACATGCAGACAAGGAAACATCGGGAATCTGTCAATGTTACGCCAAGACAATGGTTGCTTTTTATTGTAGAAAGTGTCACTGATTGAGAGACGCCTTTTTTATTGTTGGTACTGCTAGTAGATTCTATTTTATCTGTGTTTCCCGCACCTAGAAAACTGGATGCCGCAAAAGAAAAGATTGTCCTACTGGAAGGTGCACTGCTTTGAGTAGACAGGTTCCTATGATGGCCAACTCTGAAGTCTGATTCCCTTTGAACACTATACATAAAACTTCTTTTTGCTCCAACAATTGCTGTTTGAGATGTGTCTACAACTTTTTTTTCAAATTCTTGAAAGGTTGATTTACAACAACCATTTAAGACGGGCAAACTTAGCGACCGATAGTTGTCAATCTTCTCCGCAAGGTCCCTCTGCTCTTCATGATGGTTGCCCTCAGAATGATATGAGACACTGAACAACTGTGGACTGGGTTGTTCTAAAGCCATGGTCAGAAAATATTCTGAGACACAATGACTATAACATGAAATGATATGAAAGAATTCCTAAAGTCATCATAATCTAAACCATTTTACATTACTTTCCATTTTTCCTGTCTATAGATAGTCGGAGATGCTGCCCTGGGTTTCCACTATACATGAAGGTGTTATTAGGAATTTTATAGTCTTTCCGAAAAATGTCCTCTGGATAAACACCAATACAGTCAAGCAGCTGTCCATGTACTGATTCCTTGTAAACTCTTCCATCCGGATAAGATGATGAGATGTTCAACAAAGAGGGGGCATTAGAGAAGGTTAGGCCTCAAACCCGTGATAGAATACTTGGCCATTCTGCAATCTCCATCATCTTTCACAGCCCTGGTTCCACCACAGACAGCAGTTCTTTCGTCCCCATTGTCTCCAGTAAATATCTCCGCTGGCAGTTTTGCTGATCTGTAATGCAGGGAAAGAAAGCAAAGAAGGTCAGCATACTGCTTCTGTCAGCAAAGCACGGCAGAGGCTTATAAGAACCTTAAGTGCTGTTTTTGCACGCTAAGCTTCATCACAGTTTAATTTCTCTCGCCTTGCTTCTTACTGATTTTTGCTCCTAAAAAGCCCTAGAGAAATGTGAAACAATTAAGGTGTAATATTTAAAATATGCTATGTACAGTTATCTTTCTTCATAAGGATGTTCAGATACCAAGTACCATACTTGGTACAAGTACAAGTACATTTAGAGATACTTTTCCAGGGAAAAATTCAAAAGTTAGGAGGCAGCTGTCATTTTTAAAGCGCATATGTGATTTGTGCATCCCTGTTTTAATGTATTGTACATTGCATACATTACATTAATGTATGTAATTTTGTTTTAATAAATATATATAAGGGATGCACCAATACCATTTTTCCAGTCCAAGTACTTACAAGTATGAGTACTGATACATTTGTTTACTGTCATGTGACAGCTTTTCTAAAATACAGACTATTGATTTCAGGACAGTGGTGGAGCGCCAGAGCCAGGTCCCAGCTGCAACCGCTGCAATCCTGGTAGTTCTCATAAAAATGTCAAGTAACGGCACTGGTATTTGAACTGGTATCTGAACATCCCTATTTCTTCACGTTAATTCTCCATATGAACCATGAAGAACACACCAACTAGGTTTACAGTTAGGGTTCCTGAGTCTCTAACAAGAAGAAGTAAATGAGTTGCTATAGGGGTGTCAAGGAATCCTGTGAGTTACCTCACAGCAGGAACAGCAGGACTATCATGGATTTCTGACCATGTAGCAACTTCTATTGACTCCTACTTGAAGAGAGTAGCATGTTTTAAAATATATACAGTATATATATATATATATAACAGCAAAGAAGAACCTTCATTTTACCCATTCAGCTCTTGAGGCACCAATTCACTGAAGCAAAAGTGTGCATCCAGAGGTTCAAACAGATAACATAAAGTAACACATGAAGGAAGGTCATTAGGTTTCATTATGTTTCTGTAAAAAATGTGAGCATGAAATACTCCAAATATAATTTTTTTTGGTCAAAATTGGAAGATATAAATTGATTGATGATTCTGATCAAGAAGATGGAATGGATATTAACCATATCAACCGCAGCACAAAAATGTAATTGCCTTTAACGAGATTCCTGTAGGTTTTTCCTGGTTCAATTCCAATGTAATTCAATTCAAATTTTTCTTCAATCCTTTTTAATAAACTTTAAGCCACTGTTCACAGCATCACATTCCATGAAAGCGTGCAAACCGCAGCAAAAATGCACACGACGGTGCACATTCACGGAAACATGCACCAAACAAGGAATGCCCTTGAGGTGCCATTACTAGTTAAAGGCACCCCATACGCGGTGAACGCAAAGGAACAGCATGGCAAAAACGTGGAGCACATGTCACAAAATTTGTGATATGTAACATTTTCCTGTGTTTGCAGGAGTTCCGAGGGTTAATGGGGGAGTCAATGGGGATGCATGCTGTGTCACTCCACGGCAGTCATCCAAATATAAAACATTTCCTGTTAGGCACAATAGATAACTTTAAGAGGCTTTGCATAATGTAAAATCACATACTAGAAGTAAAATTGGTAGGGCATGATATCTGAAAAGTTTATTGTCTCATTGCCCACTCTTACAATATTAAATCTATTAAAATGTTATTTTCTACCATTTGCGGTTGGAATATCTGTAAAGTAGACCTTTGGCCAGGCTATAACCATTAATTTTTTACATATTCTTAACAAGTGGTAAATAAGCTTTAAGACAAGCTCTCAATGACCTTTATAGCTATGGCTACTGTGGAACAAATAATCCCAGAAGTTGACAACGGAAGCAATGCAGTTGTTCACGTTATTCTCTCTGCAGCTCAGCTCACTTTTACCCCCTGTACTCAGTGCACAAGGTCTACATGTACATTACAGATAACAAGGCTGGAAGGCTGCTAAGTTACAGCTTAAGAGAGGCCCAGGAGGAGCTGAGCTGTCTTGGAGAACTGATTTGAACAAAGTGAGCGCTACTACTGTGAACATTGAGGATTTATTGTTGAACAGTGCCCAGAAACCTGCAGAGGTCAGTAAAGTAAAGTCTTGTTTCAAAGCTCATTTATTGCTTAAAGTGTATTTCCACTGTTGCGTCAAATTGAGATAACACCTATTTTACATTTGTTACATGTTCCCATTCACTTTGCAGAACTTATAAACTTAAACTTAAAAAAAACTGCTGCTTGCATTTTTAAATGCATTTTACTTGCTTACAAATCCTACTTAGCGTGTGTGAAGTTATGTTAAAGGAGAATTATGAGGTGAGTGATTTTCACTCAACCTCATAGTTCAAGCCGACCTGAGACAATGAAACTGTCACACGTCGGCTCAATAGATTGGGAAGTGAGCGAACGCATACCGTCGCTCGCTCACTTCTCGATCATGTCCCTGCAGAGAGCCGTGACAGTCACTCACGACTCCCTGCAGGGATTCCCCCTCCCCTCTCCGATCCTCCAGCGCTGACTGGCGGAACGGAGAGGGTAGGGGGCAGGTATAGCTGGCTCTGCCTCTAGATAGGCAGAGCCAGTTGTCACTCACGCAGCTGGGTTGATCTCGACAGTAATGTCGGGATCCGTCCCAGCTGCGGCAGTCTCAGTATACCGTGTGCTGTAGCTCACGATATACTGAGATTTGGGTCACGGGAGGACGCTAGTTTATGTCCTCCTGTGACCCTTAGGAGAACTATGGGGAAAAACACTTATCCCATAGTTCTCCTTTAACTCTAAATGACCCTGTCTGTACATTGCTAGCAAATCTCATTACCAGTTGTAAACTAGACTTCAACACTGTCTGTCCTAGCAAAGGGTTAAAGACTTAGAAGCATTGTATGTTAATGAGAAAACGCTCAGTCTGACCCTCAGATTTACCTCGAGTTTGATTTTCAGTAGTCCAGAATATGCACAAAGGCCTTTACCAAAGAAACCGCTAAAAGGTCAAAACTAAATTAAAAAAATATATTTTTAGGTATGGTGTGTGAATGGGAGAACAAAACAAACAAATAGTGGGGTTTTCTCAAATTTGACTGCAAAAGTGGAACTACACTTCAATATGTAATGTTGATAGCCTGGCCACAGTGCATTTTCACTTTTGCAGTGAAATGTGAGAAATCCTTGCTATATGTTTAGTATGGTGTTCCCATTCACAAATCATACCTAAAAATATTTTGGTTAAAGCAGAACTCCAGGATTTTGATCAATTAAACCTTACAGTGAGGATGCCCCTACACTGCAAGGGTTAAATGTTCATTTTGCCTCCGAAACTAAAAAAAGAAGATATACTCACCCGGTCCTCAGTCCCACCTAACTGCTAGATGGGTCCCCGCAGCTTCTTCTTCCATGAACTCCGGTGGTCTAAGGACCTGTGACATCATCACATTTAATACAGCCTATTAGATATGAGGACGCCAAGTGACATACCACAGGGAGAGTGAGGTGAGCAGTAACTGCCGCAGTTCCAAGGATCGGGTTATTATTTCTTCTTTATTTTCGCCTGTAAACCAAAACAAGCAGTTAACCCTCGCGGTGTGGGGGTAGCCCCACTGCAAGGGTTAACTTTTAAAAATCCTGGAGTTCTTTAAAAATGTCTTACCTTTATAGTTGTTTTTATAGAGCAGGCATTTGGGCAGACTGAAAGCTATTTTGAACAATTTCAAAGTGAACGTGGAGCGGGGAAACTGTGGTCAGACTAAGATGAAGTGCATTGACATACAATGCACCACCCAAGCCCTGGCTCATATGCCTTCTGTATCTAACTGCAAGTATTTGGTGGCCTAAAATAATTTTTGAAGAAGCATTTGCAGAGCTATTGGAGTCAAGCATTAATAAGCAGTGTTTGATTAGACTGACTCTTGCATGCCTTTGGAAGCATGTCTGTATGCTGTGAGTGAACATATGGAGAGGAGATGATTCACTCCATAGATGGATTGGACTAAAGGCCACCCCGCAACTGTAGAAATCAAGTAGTTAGGTGAACGGTGCATGAAACCTTACAAAAAAGTGACACGCACCCAGAATATAATGCAGGTTTACCAGTTATGGATTATGTCACTGTCCTACTTACAATTATATTAACTCCCCAGCCCCCTCCTCCAATATTACATAGAAGGGGAGAACTTTAAAGTGACATTAAAGGCAAAAATCCTCCAGCACTGGGGCTGGTCTCTGATCCAGTCTCTTCCTGTCCCACGGGGTCTGTGTGGGTGCATGCTGCCTGCTTTAACCTACCCTGTGTCTCTGCTCTTCTCCCGGCCAAAGATCTGTACTGCGCATGTGCCCGCCCCATGATCCTTTGCCTTTTGTAAACTTTTTTTTTAAATGTTTTTGCATATATCCCACCTCAAACTAACCACTCAACCATCACGTTCTCAAACAATTCATCCCCACACAGCTACCTCCTCATGTATCACTGGCCCCTCCCTTTTAGATTGTAAACCCTCACGGGCAGGGCCCTCCTTACCAT